AGCGCCTAGGCGGGGACTAGTTGGACGCCTAGAACGATTTTTAGAACAAAGAATCCTCCTAATTAAGGTTCCCTAATAAAGAAAAGATATTTAGGGTATTTAGAGATTCTGAGATCTCTAAGATATCTACTCATAAATGCTCAATCAGGTGAGTAATTAGAACTATCTGTAATAATCTACACTCCCCCTGAAGCTGGGTGATGGATATCATCCATGCACATCTTGCTAGATAAGTCTTCAAACTGAATTCTGGGAAGTGCCTTAGTGAGTATATCAGCTATTTGCTGCCTGGTTAGAACATAGCTCAGCTGGATATCCTTTGCTGCAATCTTCTCTCATATGAATCTTCTATCTATCTCAATATGTTTGGTCCTGTCATGATGGACAGGATTCTTAGTAATACTGATAGTAGACTGGTTGTCACATGATATCTGGATGGAGCTTTCAAATGGAAGTTTGAGCTCATTCATCAATCTTCTTAACCATAATCCTTCACAGATTCCTTGTGCTAAAGCCCTGAGCTCAGACTCTGCACTACTTCTCGAAACCAGTGACTGTTTCTTGCTCCTCCAGGCGACTAAGTTACCCCATACATAAGTATAGTAACCAGTAGTTGACCTTTTGTCTAAGAGGCTTCTAGCCCAGTCAGCATCAGTAAACACTTCAATCTTCCTTGTCCCTTTTTTCTGAAACAATAATCCTTTTCCAGGAGTCATTTTCAGGTATCTCAGAATTCAATAGACTGCAGTTAGGTTTTCCTCAGTTGAGTCATTCATGAATTGACTTACTACACTTACTAAGAAAGCAATGTCTGGCCGTGTGTGAGATAGGTAGATTAGCTTCCCTACCAGCCTTTGATATCTACCCTTATCAACAAGTGGACTTTCAGTCTCACTGTCCAACTTCTTTGATATATTCATAGGAGTGTCCATAGCCTTGCACCCAAGCATTCCAGTTTCACTTAGCAAGTCTAGGACATATTTCCTTTTTGAAATGAAAATGCCTTTCTTAGATCTTGCCACTTCCATTCCCAGGAAGTACTTCAACTCGCCTAACTCCTTGATCTCAAATTCTCTTGCTACATGAGCCTTCAATCTGTCCAATTCAGCCTTATAATCCCCAGTCATAATAATATCATCAACATATACTATAAGATTAGCTATTTTACCGGAGTCTGTCCTCTTTACAAATAGTGTATGGTCCTCTTTACAGATCTTGTGAACCTATCAAACCATGCTCTAGGAGACTGCTTTAGTCCATACAAGAACTTTTTCAGTCTGCAAACCCGGCTAGATTTCACCAAGTCTTCTAACCTGGTGGTACATCCATGAATACTTCCTCTTCTAGGTCTCCATTAAGAAAGGCGTTCTTAACATCTAGTAGATGCAATGGCCAGTCTAGGTTCACTGCGAGTAATAACAATACTCTAATGGTGTTCAACTTTGCCACTGGTGCAAATGTCTCTGAATAATCAATGCCATAAGCTTGGGTGAACCCCTTAGTAACCAGCCTTGCCTTCAGCCTTTCAATCTTTCCATCAGCCTGATATTTAACTGTTCAATACCCACTTGCAGCCAACAGTTCTCTTCCCTGCTCGCAGATCTGTAAGCACCCAAGTTCCACTCTTCTTTAATGCTGCTAATTCATCATGGACAGCCTGCCTCCACCCTGGATGTTCAAGGGCTTCCTTGATGTTGTTAGGAACCTGAATACTATCCATCTTTGAAATAAAAGCTTGATAGTTTGTTGATAGTTTCTTATAACAAACAAAATTATAGATAGGATGTTTGGTACACTCCCTTACTCCCTTTATGATAGCAATAGGTAAGTCTTGTTCCTCATCATCTCCTTCTATAGCTTCAACCTCTTTGTCAACAGGATTCAAATTTGAGTCACGTGATTGGGTGGTGTTAATTGGAGTGATGTGCTCTTCTTCTAGAACTCTGGTTCTAGATTTCCGCTTATAGGTATTCTTGTAAAATGGGGAATTTTGATGTAGTGTAGGATTTTGGGGTGATGAAGTTGATGGGTGAAATGGTGAGGTTGATGGAGGGACTGTATTGTCTGGAGGGCTTGATTCAGATCTATCTAGAAGTATAGGTTCAGTTTGGTTAGATTCGGAATCTTGGAGGTCTGGAATAGTGTCTGAAATAGGTGAAATAGGGTTCAAAGACTGGATTTCATTGTGATTCTCCCCCTGAAATTCAGTTTTGGAATAAAAAGGCTAATTTTCAAAAAACGTTACATCCATTATGATGTAGACCTTTTTGTGGTAAGAGAATAACATTTATATCATTTCTAGTTGGCAGCATATCCTATGAGTATACAAGGTAAGAATTTGGGATCCGGTTTGACCTAAGTGGAGAATGGTTGTGAACATGCTTTGCAACCAAAAACCTTTGATGGAAGATTGGTAAGAGGGGTGTGAGGATGTAGATAAGATAGGATTTGGTATGGGGTTTTGAATTGGTGAATTTTGGAGGGCATCCTATTTATCAGATAAGCTGCAGTTAGAACAGCCTCTCCCTGGTAGTGTTTCGGAGCGTGAGTGGTGAACATAAGGGCTCTTGCAACTTCGAGTAAGTGTTTATTCTTCCTTTCTGCCACCCCATCATGTTGTGGGGTGTCAACACAGGAGCTAATGAGTATAATCCCCTTTTTGGATAGAAACTCTCCTAAGTTGGATGAGAAATATTCTTTGGCATTATCAGTTTTAAAACCTTGAATCTTGGTTTGAAACTGAGTTTTGATCATAGAATAGAATCTTTGAAAGATAATGTTGACTTTTGACTTCTCTTTCATGAGGAAGATCCAAGTTAGGCGTGTATGATCATCAATAAACATAACAAACCACCTTGAACCATTGAGATTTTTGACCTTGGATGGGCCCCAAACATCACTGTGGATGAGAGAAAATGGTTTAGATGGTTTGTAAGGTAGACTGGGATAGTGACTTCTAGTATGTTTAGCAAGTTGACAAAATTCACAATCAAAAGCAGAACTTTTATTTATGAATAATGAAGGAAATATTTTTTCTAAGTACAAGACATTAGGATGACGAAGACGATAATGCCATAACTGAATTTGAGTACCAAATTGACTCTTACTAAGACTCCCTAAGAACTTATGGTTGAATTGACTCTCACTGGAAGTTGTCTGGTTGGTGGAGTTTGGTGAATGTGGTGAATGTTCCAGAAGATAGAGTCCACCACTTTGCTTAGCACTGCCAATCATCCTCCCTGAATCCAAATCCTGAAATTCACACAATTGAGAAGAAAATTTAGTTAGGTAATGCATATCATTGTTTAGTTTACTGACTGATAAGAGGTTAAACTTTAAATCTAGAACATATAACACATTGTTAAGCATTATCTTGTCACAAATTCTGACTCTTCCAGACCCTTTTTATTGCTGAAGTAGTTCCATCAGCAATCTTCACATTTACCTTATTCTTCATAGGGGTCAATTCGGCAAAAAACTTACTGTCTCCGATCATATGATCTGATGCCCCTGAATCAACAATCCAATAGGACTGACCGTGTGCAACTAGGGTTGTTAAGGCATTACATGTCTGAGCAGTAAGGCTAGTTGATGGTGTAAGCCCCTTGCTCTGACTTATCAGGTGTTGAAGAACCTCAATCTGCTCATTGGTAAATGCAGCAGAGTTAGAAATGTCCATGTCTTCTTTATCTCCAGTAGCTACATAGGCTCCTTTCCCTTTGCTTGGTTTGAAATCTTTAGGTTTACCATGCCAATTCCAGCATGTTTCTTTGGTATGGCCTGGTTTCTTACAGTGATCACACCATGGCCTCTCCTTTTTCTTGTTTTCATTCTGTCTTGGACTCTTCAATGTTTTGTTGTGGGCCTTGAGATTTTAGACCCATCATTACCTTCCTTCTGCTTTCTTCTCTTCTGACTTCTGAGAAGGTTTCTCTTAGTGTGAGTTTCTTTCCCATTATTTTGCCCTAACCTCATCTAGTTTCTTTCCCATTATATGTCTCAAACACATCAAGATGGTGCTAGAGTCTCACAAGGTTGTTGAAGTATTGAGTTACACTCAATTCTCCCTGCTGAAGGTTATGTAGCATTGATTCAACCCCAAATAATTCAAAAGTGTTATCTGAAGTTGAGTATGTTTCTTTCACAACCTCCCAAAACTCTTGAGATGTTTTGTATAGTAGGAAGTTTTCCCCTATACTGGTTGTCATGGAATTGATGAGCCATGACATCACAATATAGTTCTCCTTTTTCCACTTCTTGTAGCTTGGATCTCCTTGATCCGGAGCAGGTGCATCACCTGTCAAATAGTCCTCCTTGTGTTTTTCACACACATACATCATAACTGAGTGGGACCATTGTAGATAATTAATACCATTGAGTATATGACAAGTAATAATCGAATCTGATTGATTAGAAGTGGTGATTGTGCTTCCATTGATATTCTGGTTGCTGCCATCTCCAGTTAGGACAACCTCTGAATGTTCACATGTGACTGAGATAGATCCATCTCTCTCAGTGGTCATCCCGTATCATCCGAACTTAATCATTTTAGAGAATAACCACAGTCTGATACCATGTAGAAAGAACTCGAGAAAATAGAATGTATAATCTTTATTTGTTTTGATTTTTACAAGGAGAAGAATACAGAATATATATAGCTAGAGAAAAGTGAAATAAGAAAGGAATCCTCCTAATTAAGGTCCCCTAATAAAGAAAAGATATTTGGGGATATTTAGAGATTCTAAGATCTCTAAGATATCTCTCCTCATAAATGCTCAATCGGGTGAGTAATTAGAACTATATGTAATAATCTACGGTGTTGTATACCAAATTATAGAGTAACATTTTAGCTTCTGTCAAGCAAAAGAGAGAATCCATTTTGTTTTTGTTTTTAATTTGTAAATATCCATATCTGGTTTATAATTGATCATGAAGCTACTGAAATGTTAGAATCCTGGTTGTTATAGTTAACACTTCTATTGAAATTTACACCAAGGTGGAGGAAACACAACAAAAATTAAAACCTGTGCAATTTCTGAGTAAATACAAAGGCAATGTTAGAGTAAAAACTGAATACAGTCATTTGCATATAATGCAAAAGAGTTTACAAGCCTTATATATTACAACAAACTTACAGAAAAAGTGCAAGCCTAATCTTAGACTGTCTATCTAAAATATTCCAAGACTTTCCAAAAAAACTTTCCCCAAATATTACAACCCTATCCAAAAAAGCATTCCCCAAAATATACAACCCTTTCCAAAAAGAAAAGTCTTCCCAAAACATAAACTTAGTGAGCAAAAAGCAAAAACCAGAAGTTCATATTTGAATATCAGTAAGAAACTTTCAATAATGCACTTCAATTTAATCTTCGTGTGGTTGTTGTCCTTCCCTTGGCATTTGCGAGTACCGAGTAGATTCATGAACAAGATTAGGGTCAACACAAATAACCGTTGGTAAAACTCCTAATCTTTCCAATGCTCCCTTACCAATATGTACCTCATCAACTTTAGTTTATCCACAAAAATTCAGCTCAAAATTCGATCAGGAAGGTAGTCAAATAATTTTTTGAAGTTAACTCCGCCAAATTATACCTAGAAAACGCAGTCAATGTATGTAAACATTGCACAGTCAATGTATAGAGAGAGAGTAATGATCATGTCAGACCGGTCTGCGTCTAACAAGATCCACCATTTGGCCGACTCATTTTGAGGTGGTTTTTGGTGGATTTTTTTTATCAAATTTTGTAAGCATGTTCTTCATGAAGTGCAAATTATTTCCACAAAATTTCAAAGGAAAATCAATCGGGAAGTCGGTCAAATGTGGAATTGAAAAACATTGTTTTGTTAATATATATAAAGTGCAGTATTTTTAAATAATTTATTTAATTGCCTTCTCGATTGAGTTTGAAGGCCAAATTTGGTGAACATAATAATCTAAATTTATAAAGAACATGCTAAAAAAAATTCAATAAGTTCCATAAGGAACCACCTCAATAGCGGTCGGACAGGGTTATTCCTCTATCTATATATAGTGGAGTATCTATATCTTGATAGAGAGAACACATTGTATTTTCAATGTTTACCAATATAGAGGCTAATACTCCCAAAATCTTCTTCTCACCTAAGCCCCTTCATCGAAATAGGCCAAAGCACTGTAGGAGGCCGGCATTAACTCTGGTGGCAGCTAGCTATGATACAAGGAAACATTTGGCAAAATCTTAGCAGATTCTCGCGGAAAAGCATCCTAACAATCCCAAATACTTCTCAAATAGAACATCAATTTCCTTTACCTTACAAACACCTTGATGATGTGATTTAGCAAGTCAAATATAAGTATATGTGGAAGTTATTGTAAGCTTCCATGTAGTTCATTGAGTAGGACATCAGTTATTTCATCGCCATCCTTCTTCTCACTATCCACAGTGCTTTGTACGGAGATATAAGACATGTAGGCCTCCCGATCAAAACGCCCCGCTTCACTCAACCTCTCAATCAATTCCTCTTTGCTTTTCACATCATCATGTTGCTCACAAAGCTGCATAAAAGAAGATATAGTAGGATGCCTGGGTGTCCAGTTTCCAGAACCTTCAGCCGAAAGAGCATCTCTCAAGCAAGACAAAGCTTCTGAAACTCTCCCCCTCCTGATATGCAATTGTGCAATGATTTCCCATGCCGATGAGTTGGGCTGTTTTCCAGCATCGACAATTCGTGCAAAAAGACTTTCAACCTTATCCAATAGCCCGTTCCTCAAATACCAACTCAGGAGAAGATTCGGCATTCTGGGATCATAAAGTGTCTTTTCTGACATCCACACATTGAATACGTTTTCGGCGCCTTCGATATCATCTAATCTTAAAAGAGAACAGATTAGTGCATAGTAACCCTTGTTTGGGATGCGGCGAATGTTTGCCTTGTAGACATTCCAGACGCGGTATACCTCTTCCTTGTTACCAGCTCTAGCATACAGACTCATGAGGTAATGATAAGAGATAGGCTCCTTAACATCGATTCTACTCTCCATCTGTCTCAAAAAATCTTCGCCTTTTTCCACCTCACCCATCTGAATGTACATTGAAGCCATTAAGCTGAATGTGCTCCAGTGTATAATAACACCAGGGTCCTTTTTCATTTTTTCAAATGCTTCTTCCATCTTCTCCACAGATCCTTGGTATCCAAGGAACGTCAACCATATATTATAAGAAACCACGTCTAAAATATTTTTTGAATCCATTTCTGATATTATACGCTCCACCTGGTCATTAACCTTGAGTTTATTGTAAAGGGTCATCATCACATTATATGGGCGAGAAGTACTGGCAAAACCTCGGGTTTTCATCTCATCAAATAAAGATTCCGCTTTTTCCCTCATTTCTGATTGGGCATAGGCATTCAAGAGTGAGGCATACACTCGGTTGTCCTTCACATGCTCTGGCAAATTCATGAAGTAGTCTTCGGCATTTGAGATTCCATTCACATGGTATATTAAATTTAAATGAACTGCAGCGCCTCTTTTAGTTACACGATATGTATCCTTTTTATCCTTCATCCACTCATATACCTGCAGATTAAACACAGGCTGATCTATGAATGAAAAATATGTATACGCAATATGGTATCTGAACTACCCTGCATACACTTAACAGTTATGCTCCATTTGGACGGAGTTGATCCTGGTAAATAATTTGATCCACATCGTTTTGGGACTTTTTAACACTCAAAATTATTAACCGTTCACCCCTGTTCACCTTGATAGGGAGTAATTAATGTATATGTCTATGTTATACTGCCTATTTTGAAGTCTCAGATCACCTCAGCTCAGACAAGCATAAAACAATCTTCACTTACTCACTTAGATAGAACTTGTAATATTCAAACAAAATATTGAGATATTCAATCCTGTGAATCTATTTCCGAGTAACCTAACTTGTACTTCCTGCGTGTACTGTGACCTAACTGAACCTTAATTCGAACAGAGCATTCACCATACTACAATTTTATGGATGATTAACTTCCATACATATAGAGAGTTGAGAATTACTGGGTATTGAACAAAGGAGCACGCTATCTGGGTAAAGGAAATCCTTAATTTAGGCGGGGAGAGTATAACCTGGAGAGCAAGCTTGTATCGCTTGACTGTGCGGAGTTCCTTAATTATAAGCAAAAGATTCGGTATTGAAATATCCGCACCCTCATTCTCATACTGTTCTAGCACTGCATCAGGGCTGGCTGCTCCCGAGAGTCCAGCAATGCATATACGCTTGTAGATTTTGTACCAATCAAGTTTCGGCTTCTTCTCATAGTCCACAGTGCGAACATTCGATTCTGAGGAACATGAGATCGCAGGGCTCTTTGGAGAGTATAGAAGAATGGATGTTGAGAACCCGGGGTGGGAGATATGCACTGAGAGTGAGAGACGGCGGAGACGGTGGTGGTGAACCGGCGCTGCGGTTGTGGTTGTGACGGATTGGAGCAACATGGTGACGGATTGCCCAACTCTATCCGGTTGTGCTCGCAGGCCGTTTTTCAATATTACGATAAGATTCTCCTTATTCACTTGAACGAATTCCCACCACACCAGGTGAAGCCTGAAGATATGTGATCTATTTTAACATTTTGGCCTTGTTTGGTAAATGATTGTTAGCTGTTGCTGGTAGCTGGTTGTGTCAGCTGTTTCGAAACAGCTGGTTGTGTTAGCTGTTTTGACCGACTGGTTATGTTGGCTGATTATAAATAACTGTTTGGTAAAATTGGCTCTTTCGAAATGGCTGATAGAGTGTATATTGAACCAGTCAAATGAAGAAGTTGCTCCCCTTAGCTTCTTCCACAATCCATTTTTTCAGCTTTTCAAACTCAACAAGCTAATTTTAAAAGCCATTTACCAAACATTATTATTAGCTTCTTTGACTAATCAAACAGTTGAAATGGATCAAACAAGCTAAAAGCTGACTGATAAGCCATTTGCCAAACATACCCTTTAGATGGATGAAAATTCGGATTGTTTTTGTGTTTGGTATGGTTTTAGGATATAGGGCAGAGAATAGGAAAAATTTTACAGTACCAAATCATAAAAGATTTCCAAAATTAAGACTACTAGTTAGCATAGGATAAAAGTGGAATTCATTGACTATATAATAACCTAAGAGCATCTCCAATGGGCTTCTGTTAACATAATAAAAAGTTGCCACATCATTAATTTTGAAAGTATGGTGGTAATTTTGTCTCCAGTCCGTTCTTTTATTAGGTCTTTGAAGCTGATGTGGACTCGACACTTTCAAGCACTCTGTTGGAATTTCCACAGCCTGTTTAACTCCCTGACTCAGCAACTTGGGAGCAATGTGTGCAACTCCTGAGAAAAAAGCGGGCAAATCTAGAACAAAAAAAATTCGTGGGCACCATTTCTCATAAACAAGCAGTTAATCTGAAAACCAAATAATTCTAGTATTTATATATTAAGCGAAAAAGGGTATACGAATGATTATATTCACTAATCTATGATTTAAAAGAAAAAAACTACATCTATTTTGCCTCAGTTAAATCATACGGAGTATGGCGTATGGGTTGGATACCTTTTTTATTTTAGGATGCCTACTAAAAAATTACATCGATTGAATAAATCGACTAATTTATGATTTTGACTACAACTTAGATGCCTTTTTTATTTTAGGATTCAACTACTCCGTATATTAATTATATAAAATGACACATAGATAAATAATTTAAGGTGTTAACATTATGCATTGGAGAACTTTTATTAAATTCTTTTAATGTGTAATTGATGTGGATAGACATAATCTTAAATAATTGACATTTGGCAAAATTTAGGCACCCTCAAAAGAATAGGGTTGAAGATGCTCTTAATGAGATAGCAGACAATTCTAAAAAACTGTCGCCTATGAACAGTAAAATCTGGCAAGTAAGAAAGCCGTCGGGTTCAATGGAAAATTGCAGAAAGAAAATATTCTTCGATCAGGGCCTCAAAATTGCAGCCGGAAAGGACGACGACGAATCAATCCGACTATGAAGAAAACTAACGAAGAACATTTAGACGGTAGAGAAGAACAAACGACAAAGAGAAAGAAATAATCGGAGTAGAAGAACGTTGAAAATAGGAAGAAGCCGAACAAAGAGAATATGACAGTGATGACTTCGAAATGGTGAAGAGACAGAACATGCCAGAAACTGAATTGATCGATTTTCGAAAAAAGGAATGAACGAAAAGTGTTAAATATGAGAAATATTATCTAAGTCAGACATTAATTTTAGCATGAGTCGATAAATAGACAATGTGGAGACAATAAATATTTAATTAGAGAAATAGTTGAATTTTGGAAATTGAATGTACAGAGCAACATCAAATACAAATATAACATATGTAAAGATTAATAAATTCTATGACTAGTAAAACTTATTGATAACAACATTATGAATGACTTATTCTTTAAACTTTGTTCATTGAAGATTCATGTATGCTTACATTTTATATTAAAAGACATATGATTTTGCATGAAATATTGTGGTATATATGTCATAAAGTTTGTTGAGTATCTAATGCTCGATAAAGAAGTAAATGAAGTTTCTAAGGAAGACATGGATAAGTACGGAAAGAAATGACAAGAAAGCTACTGATGAATGCAAAACGAAGGAAGCGGGTGAATTAAAAGAGTGTAATACAAAAGTAATATGTGGTCTAAGATGCAATGTAATAGTTATATTGTTCGAAAGAAAAATGCATGTAAAATTTTCTTCTTTTTGTCATTAAGTATTGTGATTACATATTAGTTACATTTGGTTTTGAAATATGACAATATACTGTATCCTCTTTTCTGTTTCAAAAGAAATGAGTGCTCATTTTTATTACTTTTTATTTCATGATGAGATCACTATAAACTCTGATATAAATATGGAATGAAGTCCATAAGTAGTCAATGGTAGGTCATTAATAAAACAAGTGTAGACATTAAATAACTACAACTAAAGTAAGTACACAAGTCAGTTACAACTATATGTAAAAGCTTATAAAGTAACAATGGAGTTTGATAAACTAGTCAAATAAATTTTAGATACAAGACCCATGAAATATGTAAATATGAACATATTGTTGTTAAATGTGGACACCAAAACTCAAAACATTTCTCGTAAATAACTATTACACATTTTGTGCATTAAATATGAGCATATTAATCAGAAAAATTTAGTTGCAGTCTTGCATATAAGGGAAGAAACGGGAAGCGTACTGAGTAGACAAAGCCGGTATGTTAAGTGCATTTTGGAGTAGGCACTAAATATGTACAATAATTTCAAAGATGATGTGTGCTGGTTCTGAAACATATACTATTCAATAAACTTGAGTTTGAATGACAAAATAACATACATAATCTCCAATGCCAAAAACCATGGCAACTAACATAAAACAGCAGTGCCAATAAACCATGATAATTTAAAAGTGCGGGGAAAAAACTAAAGTTATTGCCAAAATAACATACATAATCTCCAATGCCAAAATTCTCACAACTCTCATTGGATGAAACTAAAGTTATAGGACATTTCGTGTTTTAAGAACTACGGACTGGAATAAGATCACCATAAGACTTCTTGTCGTGCCTTCCTTTTTACACCATGAACATTGTTTATGCTGCCGAGAAGAAAACTCTTCAGTTGAACGTAAACGCTTCTTTTTAGGCCTAACGAGTTGGCGTGTGAGAACCAATAGGCTGCACCACCCCACTATAAATAGTAACTTGCACAAGTGTAATTAAAGTAAAATAGTACTCCGTAAACAATTATTTGGAAGAACATCTATAAATTCCTTATTCTTGTAAAAAAATCATTAAGGATCCATATAGTAGAATGAAAAAATACAACTACGAAAAGCCTTGCAAAGTAGAAAAAATATGTAGATGTGGAAAAAATGATACAAAGTACAACACTTCATGCGGCCCTCAAACCAATGGGTTATATCTTCTTCTACTTCCAGGAGTAAAACTTCATCCCCATGATGTTAAAACATGAAGAAGTACTTAAAACAATTATCTGCACCAACATCTAAGGACATCATGGAACCATGATGTTTGCTTTTAAGAACATAAGCAATGGAGGGTGTTTAGTAACAATTGATATCTTTGCTCATATGAACCCGTCAATTTTTCTTGGGCTTTCTTATTTGCAATCAAATCATACTTGAATAACAATGTAACTCATAAGTTCTAATAATAGCTCAATAGCAGACAATACATAGACAGTTAGTAGTCATTAAACACACAATAAGTTCTGATAATAGCTCAATAGCAGAGCCGGTAACATAAAACAATATATATATACAATTCACTATATGTAACGATGAAATTACATCGAGAGGTTGTCGAAAACTCCACAACGAAGCAGCATAGGTAATCTAGCATCCTTTATGGTGAACCTGTAAAGCTGGAAGGCTTCTATTTGGTTTTCGAAAATCAGAGTGTCATTGGAGCCGTAGTTGTCGATTCTGCAATGGCAGACTCTGAATCGAAGATCCTTCAGGATGTAGCCGATTCATCTGTTGGTGAGGTCATGTCGATCGATTTCAAGCTTTCCGATCTACCGAGTTTGGGGAAGTCGGTCTGTATTTTTATTTTTCAAATGGAGTACTCAAGTCAAGGGTAAAAATGAAAAGTAAAAATATGATTTCCTAAAATGGGACCATATAAATCACACGCATGGAAAAAAATAAATAAGTTCTATTTTGTAACCTTTCTATCTTTTAGTCTCACAAGAAGCAATTTTCTCCAGAGAATATCCTATTGAAAAGGTCACCAATATATTAGAAGCAGTTCTGTTCACCTAATTTGAATTTTTTAAGTTTTGAACTGATATGATCTGAATTTTTCTGATCTGATATGATCTGAATCTTTCTGATCTGATCTGAATCTTTCTGATCTGATCTGAATCTTTCTGATCTGATCTGAATCTTTCTGATCTGATCTGAATCATTCTAATCTGATCTGATCTGATCTGATCAGAATCTTTGTGATCTGATTTGAATATTTCTAAAATTATATATATAATAATTATTATTATAATTATAATTTCAATTATAAATATAATTTAAATATAATTATAATCATTATTATAAAAAATTATAATTATAATTAAAATTGACATTTTATAATAGCTACAATTATTATTATAACTATTACACTAAATTTATATAATAATAGCTATAATTATAATTTTAATTACATTTGTAATTATAATAATTATTACTCCGTATAATTCTAATAATAATAACTATTATAATAATAATATAATGAAAATAATAATAATAATAACAACAACAACAACAACAACAGTAACAATAGTAACAATAATAGTAATAATAATAATAATAATTGTTGTTGTTGTCGTCGTTGTTATAAGAAAAAGAGGTAAATCATGTCTGAACTTTTCTGATCTGATCTGATCTGAATGGTTCTGATCTGATATAATCTGAATCTTTCTGATCTGATCCGATCTGATCTGAATTTTTCTGATCTGATTTGAATAAAATAAGAATAAGATAAACGAACAGAATAAGCATTAAGTATATTTTTATTAATTATCAATTTTACATTCTA